CGCCTTTCCTGGAACTAGCTTTGGAGACCAGGCTGGCCTCGAACTCACAGAGATCTGCCTGCCTCTGCCTCCCGAGTGCTGGGATTAAAGGCATGCACCACCACCACCCAGCATTTTTTTTTTAAGATTTATTTATTATGTATACAGCATTCTGTCTGCATGTACACTTACAGACCAGAAGAGGGCGCCAGATCTCATTGCAGATGGTTACGAGCCACCATGTGGTTGGGGGGAATTGAACTCAGAACCTCTGGAAGAGCAGTCAATGTTCTTAACCACTGAGCCATTCTCCAGCGGTTTGTGTTTTTAAAAAAAAAAAAATAAAAAAAAAATCATGGCCCTACTGCAGCCAGGGTCTGTGTTGATGTCTGGCTCTTGTTACCACCAAGGGCCGTGTGGATGCCCAGGGTCAGGTCAGCTACCTGAGTCCATGCTGGTGTCCAAGGGCCATGCTGCAGCTGGAGCCATACAGATTTCAGTGGCCTGCACTGCTACCCAATGCCATGGTGACATCCAGGCCAGAGCTGCAGCTGAGGGCCATGTCTGGGTCTGGGTCTCTATTGCAGCCAGGGTCTATGTTGATGTCCGAGGCTTCTGTTACCATCAAAGGCCATGTACACGCTTGAGGTCTGGGGCTTCAATAGTGTCTGAGGGCCATGCTGCTGCTGGGGCCATGCCCATCTGAGTGACCTGCACTGCCACATGAGGCAATGGTGACATTCAGACCCAGCTGCTGCCAAGGACCATGTCTGGGTCCGTGGTCCTACTGTGGGTGGGGTCTGTGTTGAAGTTCAAGGCCACAGTGTTGGGGCCACAACCTGTGGCCTTGTTGGTATCCGGGGCCATGCTGCCACCACAGCCATCCTGATCTGAATGGACAGTGCTTCTACCCGGAGCCAGGATGTCGTCTGGGCCTGAGCTGCTGCCGAGGGCCATATCTAGGTCCATGGTCCAGCTGCAATGGGGATCTATGTTGATGTCTGTGGCCTGTGTAGCCTCAGGGGGCTGAAGGAACAATGCATGATGAAATCAGAGGGTCACGCTGAGCCAGCCCTGCCTCTCACCGGACACTGCAGCAAAAGAGCTGGCCCTGCACTCAGGAGAGACGGCCCCACCCCTTGCCACAGTCAAGGGAAAACCGACCCTGGTGGCTGGGACTGACCAGTTCAGCTACTACCCTGGCCCACAGCTGGGCCTTGGGTTGGCCCACTCTAACATCTACCCCATCTAGGACCTGCTGGAACTCCTGAAGGAACTGGTCCTGTGGAACGGTACCTGCAGGATCTCCATGACTCAGGGTGGCCACGGGAGATCCCAGAGGAGTTCGGGTGAGGATCCAGTGAGGATGGCGTACCAGAAACCAGAGGCCTTGAACCAGACCAGTGACACATTGCAATGAACATTTGCAAGTAAAGCTGAAAGGACAAAAGTAGACCGGGTGACACACAGCTCCCAGTGCCACCAGGACTAATGAAGACGGGTTGGAGAGGCGGGAAAAATGGAGACACGAAGAGGTTTTTTTTTTTTTAAAGTTTTCTTTTGGGGGGTGCTACAGGGGTGAGGGGAGGATATGGGGGGACTGGAAGGTGAGCAGAATTAGAGTGCATGATGTGAAATTCCCAAAGAATCAATATAGAAATTAAGTTTAAAAAAAGAGGTCACGTTG